GCTGTCCTTTTTTCTTCAATCATTTCTCCATACGGTTATTTTTCTTGCCTCTTCATCTAAATTTAGAAATATTCGATTTAACATTCAGGGTTGCTGCATCCATTTTCCGAGCAATTAGCCCGTTTATCCGGCCTCACCATGTGTTTTGTTTAAATTTGCGAAGGATGGCTTCACACACTACTAATGAAAACACTAACCAGTGACTTTGATTTAAGTTAGGTTGTTGTTCTGTTTTCCTGAGAGCTGCTAAAGTTCATTGTGCTGACGAGCTGCTGCTGGTTCTGTTTGACATTGAGGTGCAGCTTTTATCGTGCAACTGTCTCGCATCGCTTTTATTTTGAAAGCGTTTGCATGATCCTTTTGGTGCTCTGCACAGATGCACTTGTATGTGTTTTTCAACTTTTATCTCTGTTTCACACAGCCTTCATCTTCTGACGCTTCTGACAAAATGTTAGCTTTTTCATTTCCATGCATAGATTTTTTGTTAACAAGTTCAACCAATTTTCAATAAGGCTTGAGGTGTGATTTATATAACTGCATTTCTAAGAGGGAAACACAAATCCATAATCCTAACAGATTATAAAATGTGAAGCCCCATTAAATATCTTCACAACAGTTTTTCACCGAAATTTTAAAACAATAAAAACGGAAACTGAATGAATGAAATTCTTTGTCTCCAAATGAAGGTTGTCCATTTCAATAAACATCCATAATGGAAGTGATGGCTATTGAATATGGTAAGTGTTTCTGAACTGATACACTACAATTTTTTCTTTGATAGCACAATAAGGGTTATATTTTTGTTAAAAATATATATATTTATTTAATGCTATTTACACCGAAAGAACTCACATTTTTGTAAAATACATTACAATTCTTCAAGCACCCGTCTGTTTTCAACTAACATTTTGGACACACACAGACATGTTTCATTCAAAGGAGTTTGTTTCTATCTAAACACTTATAGAATACATGTAGACGATTAGAATCATTCCAAACGGCGATTGTTTTCATTTTAAATTCTCTTTCAGCTGACCGACGGGTCAACCGTGTAACGTCTGTAGGTCGGACACAAGTGCAATTTGCATTGGCACGGATGTGACAAACGGCAACGACTTTTAAGTGGATTTTTCAAACGCCACAATATCAGTATAAAACCAGAGAATCAATTAATTACATTATATTTGTGCAATGGGGAAACATTTCTCCAATGACTTATGTGATGGCTGACGAATTACATCACAGATCAATAGAATAATACTATTCTGAACTATCCTATACGTCAAACAATTCATAAGACCTTTTGTTTGATGTTGATAAAGCAATCTATATTTACTTATGTCCGGCTCAGGTAGAGTTCTCCAGTTTAAAACAAGTTCGTAGCTGAATCAAAAGACAAGGTCGTAACTCCAGGTAGCTGAATTGAAAGTCGGTTGTTATGGTAACATCAGATGCATATTATTGGCTGAGACGTGTGTGGGCTGCTTTTGTGTTTTCCACATTGGGAAATGGAGCGTGTGGCTTTCTGTCAGACTGTGGTATAGCTTGGTGGATTACTTCGTTCGAGTCCTTGCATGCGGATATCTACAGATAGTTTGATCACTTTAAGACAATGCATGACGTGTGCACCCTGGTCCTTCTTGATTGAGTTTATTTGAAGATTTTCTAGGTACCTCGGGGGACGTTTTCCCAGCAGTTAATGGATGGCACACATTCCAGGAATTGTTAGGCAATTGTCTTATCGAGGAACCGTAACTTATGGAGAGTAAAAACCCTGATTTCATCCATACGAAAGAAGGAAAATGCTAATAATAATACATCAAAGGTATTGGAGAAAGATGATATATGAAAAATTGATTATTGACAAAAGTTTGTGATTGTCTGTGATTCTATAGATTGTACATCGTCCTAATGATGTTGTTATAAAGTTATAACCTAATATTATGATTATATTATAATAATATAAATATTTTGGTTTTGCCACCCTCATTATTTGTGCTCATATACCAGTACTTTACATAAAAACATACTAGTCACAAAGGTATTAAGATTATTCAAGTCACAAAAATGACTATTGGCATTGCTTTTGAGGGAATACATAGGCCAATATGGACCTAAAAAGCAAACTTGGCTGGCCATATTTCTCCTTGACAGGTAAGACACAAGTGAAAAAGGGTTATAAAGATATGAGATTTCAAACCACAGATTGTCAATGGCCCCCCCTATCGTATCCCTCATGTCATCATAAATCCTTTATCATAAATTAAACTGTCCTAGTGTGAAACATGCTTCAGTAAGTTTGGCTCTGTGTTTCACCACCTTACAGTGATAATAATGTTGTATTTGCAAGGCCGGCTCTAGTGTTTTGGGTGCCCTATTTGATTTTGGGCCCCATGTCCTCTTTGTTTGGGGGCCCCCTAGCAAATGGAGGCCCTAAGTGACTACTTATGAGGCTTATGCCTTGAACCGGCCGAGGGTAGAGATTGAAGGGGAAACCAATTGTTCCCACTTTAGCTTAATTTATAAAACACGTCAATATTAAAACCATTTGAGGGTAGACACTCCCTCCTAGGGTGTGTCTGAAGATTGATTCACTGAACATTTGTAGTTTTGGTTTTGCCTGCAATGTAAAACCTGCTAGAGAGACTTCCAGGTAGAACATTTTACATTGTTTATCCATTTACAAGGACATGTAAAAAAACAATGACCAACAGGGGAAATAATGACCAATTCAACCCTGACCCAAAGTCATCAGGGACATATGAGTTTACTAAAAGAAGCAACCTTAACAGAATACATCTTAAGAGGTGGTCTGAGCCTGTTTTGTTGAAGTCTGAGGTCTGGTTACTCTGTTTTGTGCCGCGTAAACACATAGCTTTTCAGCTTCACTTTTTTGTTGCGTCGCATATTTTATGCCAAAGGGTGGAAGCCAATATATTTGCTTTAGCAGTTATTTTTGAACACGCAACACCTACTGGCCTTGGATGTGGTTGTTAGGGTAGTGTTTATATTGCAAAAATTATGAGTAAATTGAAGATCTTGTGCTGGATCTATGCAGTGTAAGGCATAACAAATTGTCCTCAAAGCAGACCAATCAAAAAAACAGGAAGGCTTGGTTATTTGCTATAAATATCTGGCCAATAGTATTGGTTGTGGCGATACATAAATAAATTATTGGTAAATAGTAGGGTCCAGTTGACTTGACTGCTAAATAAATCTAAATTCTAAAATGTAAAAACAAATGTAAAACGAGCATGACATTCAAATATATACATCTCTGGGGTCTTTTTCAGAATAATTACAAATCACAGTAAATACTGTAATTGATCAGGTATTTCATGTACTGCGAAATGCTTAAAAAAAGATTTCATGACAAATTATGGTAGAATATGCAAAAATGCTAAACCGTGTAGACCCATGTAAATTACAGCTTGTACATTGACTTGTTAATAAGTATGGAAAACATGTGGTTTGCTAGTATTTACCGTTATTAAATAGAAAACTTTTTTATGGATTAGCATTCTTGTTTTGTGATCTGTTCTTATGTTTGCATGTACTGTACTACAAAGTTATTTCTTAGACTTGACTTGCATTGTTCAACTGTTTTAAACAGTAAATGGCAGTTCCCTGGGCGAAAATGCCTTATTGATGGCAGGGGTCAGAGGAGAATGACAAGACTGATTCAAGCTGTTATCAAGGCAACAGCAACAACCAAGGTTTGCAGAAGATCATCTCTAAACGCACAACACGATGAACCTTGAAGCAGAACGCTACAGCGGCAGAATACCATCAAAACAAATGTTCCTCTCATATCCCCCTCCACTAATGTGAAGTAACACAAATTCTTCTTTACAGTCGTAATACGGCAGGTTCTGTACTCCTGTTGTTCTACTCGTCAGCCTCAGCTTGGTGGAGCATTTTATTATTCAGGTTTCCAGCAGCTCCTCTACATGAACCCAGTTCACAGCCAGTGCACGGGGTACTACAACTTTACTCCAGCCTTGTTCAGACCACTGGCTCTAATAGCAGAGGTTTACACTTATTTCAAAGCCTTTAAAGAAGTAAAAAAGCAAACATATTTTAGCCAGGTGATCCAAATATTAAGTCTGGCACCTGGCGGGACCCAATCCCAATGCAGCCCTCTACTTGGAAACTCAGTTAACAGGGGACAATCCCCAGAACTTAAATACGAAACTAACTAGCTAATTCCCCACAGCTGTGCTCACTTCAAAACAATCATCAAAACACAGGAAGTGCACCCCGCTAACCTCCCTTGTGCAACAACACTCACCACACTCGTGACAACCTTTTACATTAGATCTGGCAATCCGATGAAAATGTTCTATCCTGCGCTGCACACATTTTATCTAACATTATTCATAAATGTAGATGACAGATTGTAATGAACGTAGCTCAAATTGTGGAGACACATTTGTCCTCCAAATTGTAATACTTCCATTAAGACTTCATATCAGAATTCAGCAAAAGTTGAATTTTTTTGCATGATATTCCTTCGTGCACTACCCAAGTAAAAACCTGTGGCAAGGAAAGACTCTGACAGCGTCAGCCTTATTTAAAGGAATTGTGGCAGTCGGGAATTGAGGAAAGCCTGAAATAATTACTTCGTAAACAAAGCATAAAAGATGTCACAAGCTCTTGATCGGATTGAACTCTTTACAGGAGTAACATTCATCCTACATGCAATCTCCAGAATGAGAGAATACATTTGTGATTCATCCATGAATCTTTCGTGAGCTGTACAGTGTATGCTTACACAGCTGCTGCAACAATAAAACATTGCCAACCAAACCAGATGTGACCTTGGTCCATACCCGTGTGCACACACTAACAGTCCTCCATAATATGAGTTGGTAAAGGACAGTCCTTTTGGCTAATCTGTCAATAAAGTATCCTTCCAGGAGTATTGATGATGATCATCTACTTTTCAGAGAAAAAGTAGATGTTATATCTGTACCTTACGGGAGCATGAAGTCTGCTTCGGAGCAGTTGGTAGCTTAGTGGTAGAGTGCCTGCTTTGTGCGTCCTGGGTTCAAATCCCAGCTGCTCCCCAGGTCGCTGTCGCAAATGAGAAATTGACTTCAATCGGCCGACCTGGTTAAATAAAGGTTACATTTAAAAAAAAAAATTGTCCAATTACAGAGCGTCAAAAGGAATGCTTGCAGAGCCCCTTTGCAGAAAACATCTGACCCGCTACCTATACTCTAACTAGAGTATAAAAAATAATGTCACTGCTGCCCAGACCGAAGTAAGACATTGATCCAAAGCCAAAGTGTTCTGCTGGCCTTTTGACCCTAATCACGATTTGGTTGACTGAGTGTCGAAAATGTATTATTTATCTTTTTCATTGGTAGTCCCTCGTGGCTTCTGGGCTCTGTGCTGCAACATGATTCTGTGTAAAACAAATTGGCAACATTTAGGACAACGTTTTAACAACATTCTGTGTTGCTTATGCAACTCTTATTATGAAGTTGGCACCCTACTGGTCCACCTGGGTTCCTCTGCACATCCAGAGCATTGGACCAGATGAGATCCCGGGTGATTCCAAAGCTGGCCTTGGTCTTCACTCTCATTGGCCAACGTTGGAGGGAAGACAGGAATCGTCGTATATGGAACGATAAACATTTTTCGTTTGTAACATTTACGTTTAGGGATTCCCAGCTGAGAACGTACGAAAGAGTGAGAATAGTTCAATTCACCCATGCCAGAATCACTAAACGCAGGAGGAGGAGCTCATATGTGTTCTTCTTAGCCACCAATAGCATCATTCCTGATAAATAAAAGATTTTGATGAATAAAATATCTGGGCCCTTTGAAGCTGTGTCTGCCTGAGTGTGGGTTCCTGGAGACAGAGAGCGGGATTAAACATTAATGAACCTCGCTCATAGCCAAAAGGCCTGCTTCTGTTTTTCATCTAACAACAGATTGTTGACATATTCTCATCTGTAGTTGAGACAAAAGTTTAATTTATTTGTCATGGTTTTGGCTCTCGTTGATCTTGAATAAGTGGGCCACTGAGGATCCGGGTCCCTAATTGAAATCGTTTAAACCTGTCTCGTTCTTCTGGAAACTCGATGATCACTTTGGAGTGTACTAGGAAACGGCTGTTCAAACATGCAACTGAAAAGTTTCTACACAATCAAGTTCACTAAGTCATGTAGACGATTAAGGCAAGTTAAGTGGTACTTTGAGGTAGAGGTCTTCACAGATATATACAAAATGTATGAACCAAGCTCCACTATAGTATTCAAATGGCTTGTCTCCAACATTCTGTACCTGACAATGGGATAAGAAAATAAGGAATTTGTACACAATGCCAACGGTGACAAAGTATTGCTGAGTTCTTGAATATTCTTCATACTGAAAACAAAGTGGTTTGATAACTTAGGCGCTATTGAATGCTGACTCCATTACAAGTCGCTTGTCTCTTCTCTCCCTTAACATCAAAACTGTTTTCCTTTCACGTGTTTGCCATAGGGATATATAGCTAGTTCCACGCAGCCTTTTTATAAAGCAATTTTCAATAAAGTCAGCATTGTTCGGGAGCAGGGCACACCATCTGCCTGCACATCAAAATAAATGAGAAAGACATTTAACTACCCTGCTCAGGTTTTAATGACATTGGGAAAAATGGTGAATGAGACAAAAAAAGCACAACACTGGTAATTTGAACAAGCAGTGCAATATGAGGGCCCTCAGTCTTGTGACGGTAAGTTTTTTTTTCGTAGAAAAAAAAGTACAGCAAATGAAATTGATTTATTTCCTGGTTTGTTTTTTCGTTCATTTAGAGAAAAATATGTCTGACATTGTTGCCAACTGGTATATGTTCCTATTTCTGTCTTTCAGCATATTAAATAAAAGAGTCGGAAAGGACTGATAACCACATATACAGAATGCAGTGCAATTTATGTAGAAATATTCAATTGAATGCTCCAGGAGTGTAGAATACCTTTTTTTATCTGAACAGCATCTCCAATAAGTATCGTCTGTCTGAGTGCCTTCAGAATCTGTTACACACTGTCCAATAAAAGCATGCAGCGTCTGTGAAGGATGGAAACCTCTGCAGAGTGCTTGACACACAGTAAGATACATTCTCACTTTTGAAACAAGACATTCATTTTAGAGAATTAATTTAAAGAGTAATATCTGTATTTACAATCAGTATATATGTATGACTTTGGGAAAACAGTGCCGTTCAAAAGTTTTTCGTCACTTAGAACTGTCCTTTTTTTCATATAAAATCATATTTTTCCCATTAAAATAAGATTGAAACGATCAGAAATACAGTGTAGACATTGTTAATGTTACAAATGAATGTTGCAGCTAGAAATGGCTGATTTTCAATGAAATATCGAGGACTGATTTAGACTGGTTAGCATTTCTGAAAAAAGTGTATTATTGTAATTGAACTGTCCAATGATAATAAAGTTGAATCTAGGCTAATCTTTTATTATCTTTATTATCATTGGACAGTTCAAGTACAATACAACGACATGCAGTTTGCATCCAACCAGAAGTGCAAAAGAGCAGTGCAAAAAGATATGGAGTACAGTGTGAGGATGTGCAATTGACATGGATGAGTAAATGTGCTGGTATTGCAAATGTGCAGAGGGCAACACCAGCATAGATCATCTGTGCAGATGGTAAACAGATAGTACAAGCAGTAAGCATTGTGCAAAAGGCATTTATTAAGAATATTCTCGCAGTGTGCAGGGCCAGAGGTAGCAGGAAGAGTACCACAGGATGTATTGTGGAAATGGCAGATCAAGTACTAAGTTATCATGTATAAAGCTATTTGCTTCCTGTAATCCACAATGAGTTTTTTGGTTTTCTTGACATTGATGGCCAGGTTGTTATCTGCTAACCAAGCCACTGGACGATTGCCTCGTCTTTGTCTCTGATCAGACCAGCTACTGCAGTTAAAAAATAAGACTAAGAAAAACATAGTGTTTTTATTTTTGCTATTTATACTGTTTTAATGTTTTGTGTTGAATTTGGGGAAAGGAGTTCAGTTAGAAGGTCACATGCACAGTTATATGGTCTGAAATCATGCAGGAGAGAAGCCCGTCAGTTGAGTTTGTGGCAAATCCTTTTACAGTCCTTGTATATTGTTTTGTATTTTACTGCATATGATAATTCATACTCAATTAGTATGCGCCGGAATTGTATTGCATTTTGTGACTTTCCAGTCATATATTTAGTCATTATTGATTTCTTAAAACTTTCGTGGTCAAAACTCTGTGTCCTCTACTCTTGGTTCGTTGGTGAGTTCATCCAGAAATGTAATAAAGCATAATAGACTATAAAGAAACAATTAAAAGTACCAATAATATCTACTAAAGTTATTTTGTTCCAAGCTTGCAGGTCGGTCATACAACCATTATTACACACAAAGTCTTCAAATGTACAATATATGAACCAAAACATTATGACCAATCACAGGGTAAGTGAATAACGTTGATCATCTCCAAACAAGGGCACATGTTACGGTCTGGGTAGATTAGATGGTGACTGAACAATCATTTCTCGTAGTCAGCGTGTTGGATGCAGGAGAAATGGGCGGGAGTAAAGACCTGAGCGACTTTGATTAAGGCTAACTTGTCATGGCCAGGTCGAGTCAGAGCACCTACAAAACTGCACGGGTTATAGGGTCAAGGGTCAGCAGTTGAAAGATCCGTACCACCAGCGATCTCAGGCGGGTCAAACCAGCGACAGGGTGTTAGGTGCCCAAGGCTCATCGATGCGCGAGGGCAACGGAGGCTATCCTGTCTGGTCGTACAGCAGGTCTACTGTGGTCCAAGACGGACCTGCAGCATTTCATAAACACACAGTGGCTAGTTAAGTCTTCTTAGCTAAATGCAAATCTGATTAACAGTTACACTCTAATTAACAGTTACATCACATCAATGAGCCTAAGGGGTTTTGGAGGCCGACGCCAATTAAGTGTGCGCATCTCTACCTGCTATACTTAAGTTATGCCACACGTATAATGTTACTGGTCTGTTTAACAATTTTTATTTATTAAAACTTTTTTATTTATTATCATTCTTCTGTCATACACTGTAGAGGTATTCTTTGGCTCAACTGGCCTTGTGCAATTGCTGAGCCTACCAGCGCAACCAGTCATGTTAATATCTGAAGTCTGGATACATTGTTGCAGAGGACAGCAAGAAGAACGTGAAGGTTGTCTGAAGAGCTTACGCCACACGTGTCGGGGCGACCGTGAGAAATTGTAGGGTGCAAAAGTGAAGTCTGCTGCCCCGGTGTTTGTGTTCAGGATCAATGGTCATTAATCTTGCCTGTAGAGCCCCAACAGCAGCTTTTTTGGTGCAGGATCGCCGGCCAATGAACTTGACCTGTGTTTGGGCACCACAGCATTTCTTTCTTCTCCTTTTGTCTTAAAAAGTGCGTACGTGGTGTGAGAGTGAGCGACTGGAAAAGAAAAGTCAACATAAACTCATATCGACTGCAAAAACACAGACATTAGGCTACTGTCCAAGATACCCTTTCTGGCACTGACCAAAAATGAGTCATCATAAGTCATCAGCATTTGAAACAAGGAATTTTTTTGGTCAATAGATAATTTAAATAAATAAACACATGTGTTCACTCCGGTTTCTTTAACTACTATTCGTTTTTTATTCAATTGTATCCATGACCAAAATGTGTTAAATAATTGAAGAGGAATCATAAAGAAACAAACTGCACCGTGCTCATTTGACTAGATTACGTAATCACATTTTCAGAGGCATCACATTTCATTAGGTCAGTAATTAATCATAGAAATAACAGCGTGTTGGCTTGGAACAGTCAGGCTGCTGTATAATATCACGGAGGGACATTGAACCCTGCCATTGTATTGCGACAGGAAGTGTTTCCATAGTGATCACAAGTGTCAATGACATTAGGCCCATGTCAATGTTGACATCTGTTCTTGTGTATATTGGAACTAATTAACTGGGCAACAACACTGAAAGTACCAAGAAAAGGTATTTAATCCAAAAATGTTACACAGAGTATTTCTTCATACAGAACCTTATTTTACTGTTAG